AGAAATTTAAATAAACATATGTCACGTAACACTTCTTTGTTACACGTTTCGGAGTCAATATTTATTGTAAATGTATTAACAAAAATTGTTGAAACACAACAATAAGAAAAGAATCGAATAATTTCATATTAGTCATCCGTTAACCAACCGCAGAAGTAAAAATGAATTGACTCGTAAATTATCTACTTCCATGACGGATTATTGTTAATAAGTAAACTTAAATAATTTTCAAATGTTATTTTACCATAAAATTAAGAAACTATGCAACTCAGCCTAACCAAAAACAGTACATAACAAAGGAAAAGAAAACACAACAGCCTCTCCGACAGTCACAGACAAACTGATGGTGATAGCTGCTGATAGCAATAGTACCGACCGAATGCACGAGACTTGCAACTTGTAACTATCTTTGTTGGACATTTTCCCCCTCTCTAAGCCCACATTTCCTAATGTGATTTCTACTGAGGATGTCCCACCTTATCTGTGACACCGAATTCAAGCATAGAAATTAATAGACGCCATATATTGAGAATAATAACTACGACTACGTCACGGGATGTCCCCTAGTGTTATTATGATCGCAGCAAAATAGCATAATTTAAATAACCATCGCGCAAGATCGTTTGTTATCGCAAATGGTGGCGCGTTGTGCGATAGAGTTTATAGTATAGTATAGACGAAGAAAGACATCCATAATCTTTTGAATGAGTATTATTCTTCTGCAGATTCGCGTCAATTCGACTGCAATCTCTTTTCCGCAGAACTTAATGCGTCTGTAATGTGTTTAACAAGTAATCATACTTCTTCGCAATCTCTACGAAATATCCACAAGTGTCAATAACACGACTCGAAGGGATCATTTTCATTCAGCTGCTTTTGTTGGAACATTTAAATCCAGCTCGTGAGTCAGCCAGACGCCATTTAAATCCTCGAGATAGCTCTATACATCGAGATGATCCCTTTAATCAACCTTAACACGTTCGAATCTACTTATGCATCGCCGTATTGTTCTCAATAGGTTAATACAGCAAACTGTGATTCTTCTAATCTGAAATTGATAGGAAATTCAAGCTTATCTTCGGAAAAACTATATGAAACCAAAGACTATGTACAATGCAAAATTGGGTGAATTTAAATTTTAGAAGAAATATAAACTTATAAATAACTATTCTATACGTATACTATGTATCATTAATTATTTTAATATTGACTAACAAACTGTTTTGTTACTTTAAGTACGCAACAAGAAATTATATTATTTAAATAATTATTTAAATAAAAATTCATTTAAAGAATGTTCAAGTCTAAACGACTACTTCTATATGTATATACCTATTAATATAATAAAAATATACTTAAATCACTCACGTAACTTAATATCAGAGCTGAGTCAACAACGATTACATCGTCACGTTTCTGTAGAATTATTTTTATCAGACACTAGCTATACTCGATTAGTTGTCGAAGGGGAAATCATTCAAAATTATTACGATTTACTGAATCTCCTAAGGACAGAGTTTCGTGTAAAGATTTAACTTCGCATATCATACAAATTTGTTTTTGTCCCATTTATACTAGATATACGCTATCGGTCGACAGGCCGCAGCCAAGAATTCTGTAATGTGACTTTCCGAGATCTTAGAATATAATTTGCGCGCAATTCCTTCGATAACCATTTCTTTGGTTAACCTTTTGTCACGTGAATCTGACTAATGCTGTACTATGTACCATTTGCAGAAGTTCTGACACTCGAGATATGTAATCATATAATTGTCAATTCGTTTTAAATACAATTTCATTCAATTTTCATTTAATTTTAAATCTAGGATATAATATTGTGTTATAATACGAAATTCAGACATCACATATGGCATGATACGTATATACAGGGTGTCCCAAAACTCGGGGAGGAGCCAGAAATAGGGGGTAGCTGAGACGATTCTGAACAACAATTTCGTTTGCAAAAATGTCGGATGGGACTTCGTTAAGGAGATATCAAGCGAAAACGCCGACCAATCAGAGCGCGCGTAGACCGTTGGAGCGGTCGCGGTAGCGAAGGCTACGCGCTAGGTCGATGCTTCGATGCACGTCGAGTCACTTGTTCGCGTGCAAGCGTGGCCACCAGCGCGTAGCCTACGCTACCGCGGCCGCTCCAACGGTCTACGCGCGCTCTGATTGGTCGGGGTTTTCGCTTAATATCTCCTTAACGAAGCCTCATCCGACATTTTTGCAAAGGAAATTGTTGTTCAGAATCGTCTCAGCTACCCCCCAGTTCCGGCTCCTCCCCGAGTTTTGGGACACCCTGTATATTACATAATTTTAGAAATTAAGACAACCTTAAGATAAGGTCATGTATAATTTCAACAATTTCTTTTATCTAGATATTCTTGTAATACTAAAGAAAAAAATATCAATACAGCATTAAATATTTCTTGTACTTTATTTCAAGAATATAAATAGTTAAAAGAAAAAAGAATATTTCCCAATTCATTTCTTATTTAACTTCGTTTGTCTTTACTATTCCAACCCAATGTTCTTCAATTATTTCCTTTTTTACAACGCAGTTCATTCAGCTGAGACTAATAATAGCGGCGATTATGCAAATATTCTAAAGAGAATTAACATTTCTGCAGTATCTTCGAGCGATGGAAACTTGTTTGGAAATAAAATTTGTAGGCTAATTTGTTATAAATTGTGTACGTCGCATCCACGCTCGGGCCATGACACACCGATTGGGAAACACTTATTCAAAGTACCGTCAACTATTTGTGATAATTCGAAACGCTACTGAATCATAATGGTAATCCCGCTGCACAAGGAAAATCAAACGTAATCACGTAATAAGATACGTGATACTCGCGCATTCTTGTCTCATCTTCTATTTCTAATTTTTTCGCTGACCTTAGAGACACTGGACCGTCATTTGTATGAGGCAATTAGGGAAATACGATTACTAGCTAGGAAATCATTTTCGTTGGACACTGAGAAAATTTACAGCGTACTAGAGTCGTTGGAGACAAGAATATGAAAATTCCTGGTAGAAGTATTTTTTTCATTTCATCAAGTTCGTATTGTGACTCAAGAAGAAGGAAGTAACGAGGTTTTTTTTTTAGGTTAGGAAGTAACGAGGTTTTTTTTTTATAGATTACTGTTCGTAGAACGTTATTAGATAGAGAAATATAACATGTATCGTTATTTAATTAGTTCTTGTTTACAAAGTACAGAAAATATAATCGAACAAGTATTTTAACTGAAATTACAAATTTTCATCTGTCCATCATTTCGTGTGCTTTTATTATTTAAAATTGACCATCGTTTCGTATAATGATATAATACCACTAAAATTTGTAATTATATTTTCAATAGTTTACGTTCTTTTCTTTATTTTTCGTTTCATCGTAGACCGTTTTCTTTTCTGTGTGCCATAGTTTATTAAAACGGTTACTCCTTGTTTATGTCATGTTTTTGTCATTTCACACAACTGTAATTTCTATTCCAAGAAGTCATCATTCAAACGCACGAATCGCGAGCGAGCAACGTTATTTGCAACAAGTAAAACTCTCGTTAAATGCGAACAAGCGTAGCTCTGATTCCGTGCCGAAGCAAAACAGGTGTAAAAAGAAAACGAATGTATGAAGAATTTAGAACGATCGATGTCAGGGTCGATGTAACAAGTTGCGTTGAAGTGCAACTCACTTCAATCGTTTTGCGCAATTTAGAATTCAGTTATCAGAAATAGGCAAAATCTTATTTAGATAAAAACGTTAAATAATGAATAATAGATAAGCAATGTTTCACAGACATAGTTATCCCTGTGACGATAATTGTAGTGAATCCACAATCATCCAACTTCCTTTCCGACGTATTTTTTCTTTTTTAAATTTATTTAGAAGATATTTTCAATGACAGTGTTTAGGAAATTAAAATTTATACGATATAATAGAAACAAAACTTTTGTAAAACATTAACGAGTTGCATCGTTGCATCCTACTCGTGAGATTTGTTATCTAAACTTATTATACAATACATTATGTCCCAGTAGTGGTATTACGACACATTTATAACACGATTCATAAAGGAAAAAGTTAATTAGCGAATTAACAAAGAATGCAGCTGTAGCAGATAACGAGAAGACAAGGAATACTTGTAAATATAGATACACGAAACTTTATTCGAATAATGAATGGCAAATACGACCAATTCACGCGACGTTTATTTAACTGAACGGTTAAATATTTATATCTACATATCGTGAATTCACTCTGGAATCCGTACTTTTTTTATTCGTTATTGAATATTTTTATTTATATAAATTATATAAATTATATAAATTATATAAATTATATAAATTATATAAATTATATAAATTATATTAATTATATTAATTATATAAATTATATTAATTATATTAATTATATAAATTATATTAATTATATAAATCAGTTTCTGCTCGTTAATTCTATCGAGTCTTACAATTTTATCTAATCTGCGAAACAATAAATAGAGCCCATTTATCATTGTTATATTATTGAACACCGATGTAAACGGTCTTATCGCACGTGTTCATCAGATCCTATCAGTATACGTGCACGCTGTTAAAGATCTATGGCGTCCGATAAAGGGGAAAAAAATATTGATTCAAATAACTCGTCGTCTCGATATTGGAAAAACACAAAACGTCCAAATAGTACACATTTGCGTATCTAGGCAGAATCCATTGGGAGAAAAATAAAACAACAAATTTCTTTAAAAATTAATGGGAAAATGCAGATTAGGTTATCGGTATTAGAACTTGTTTTTCTTTTAACACAAGAAATACTGTCATGTTTTACTGTTGCTTCGTGAAAAAGTTTAGAGACTCGAGAGTTTCCTTTTAAGGGCGTTTACGATCGAAAGGATAATTGAGGTAATTAAGACGAATTGTTTAGGTATTTCTTTTGGGAAGTGTTTTGCGTATCGGCAGGTTTAATTGTCGGAAAAACTTATCCTCAACCATGGAACGAGCGTAACGTGGCTCGTGAACTATTGTTCAGTTCGCATAACGAGGAACACAATAGTCGTTTCACGCCTCGAAAGATTTTATGAGCAAGGATAACTCATTTTCGTTAAGATAATACGTTGATTGTACAGCTGCGGTCTTTTCCGTAAACGTTGGACATTGGAAATACAGTTGGGAGAAAATCAACTGGCCACCAATAGGTTACTTTTTTAACTACGATCTCTATTCAGAGATAATTGATTCGAATAACTTTATTTGAATAAAGATTGGAAGGTTAAATAAATTTCTTTCTATTGTCACATACATGGTATGTAAACTTTACTTTCCTGAACACTGTCATTGAAAATATCTTCTGAATAAATCTAAAAAAAGAAAAAAATGCGACACCTGGGTCATAATATTACTTTTTTAAAGTGACAAATGGTACGCATCGATAACAGCATTCAATCAGGGTTAAAAAATGCTGATAATGGTTATGTGACTTCAGAATGAAACTGTTATTACAGACAGTCAACCAAAGTAGGGCGTTTAGTATTACAGATAGGAGATGAATTAATAGCGTCTGGAGTGAATAAGACGATTTATTACGACTCAACGAAGTCCAAAAATGTAAAACTGATTCTTTCTAATTTCAACGAATCGTAATATTTCAACCAACTTTGATTTCAACTTTTAAACAATGCATACTCTTTCAATTCTGTTTGTATACCTGTATCTATACGAAGAATAACACAGGAATATGCAAATATATAATGAAACAATCAATCTGGAATCCTCTCGTATCCAACAAAAAATATAAAATTAAAATTATCTCACTGTCGATAACGTGTGTTCGAAGATGGCGCGGAACGCTAACCTGTAACTTTCTGAACGCTCGGAGAAAATCGTGTGAACCGATATTGATAAATAAAAGGAAAAAAGAAATGAGCTTATTGTCATTTCACTTGTCACGTAGAAGGCCAACCCAATTGAACCACGAAACGCTAATCTATCGAAATAAATTCACGTTAACTATATAAAACATCCGACACTCGATCTTCGTTGATATTCTATACCGAAAAGTTGCTACTTTGCAATTCTAGAATCAAACGTGCATCGTACATGTTATTGTTCACGTTCGATGCAGCTTTTTTATAATTTAATTACTATACGGAACAACGAACGTCGTATACAATTTCAGGGCGTGGTTTGACTCATTCGTAAATAAAGTTGGTGCATTGGAGACTCGTGCGTAAAGTGACAGTAGCGAGAAATTTATCTAGTTTGTCGACGATTCGTTTGTTGGTTAATCAGTGAGCATTCGAGCCGTTTCTCGATCACTGCTGCTTGAATGTAGAATCGTGGATGTCCAAGAGGGCTACGGCCGGGGTCTGAAAACTCAGTGCAAAGGAATTTCTAGAGTTCGGAGATAAGGAATTTATGAGTCAGCCATTCAGTCCTGACACATCGACCTACGAAACATATTCGACGACACCTCGAGAATAAAAACTCTTCGACTTTCGGGCTCGAAAGTGTTAGAATAACATTTTTCAAAGGACAATTCACTTCGTCGACTTACTAGGTGAGTTTGAAGGCTCTTTCATTGATAGAAGCTCCGTTGTAGAACGAGCAAGTGGGTAGATACTTGTACTTGACAGTTAGCAAATCCAACTGACGATATTTTTTGTGATAAAATTTACAGAACGACAAACTCTGTTACACAACACTACTCACATCTACAGTTTGTAAAAATTGTACTCTATGTGCTTATCCTTATTCACTTGATATATCCTCTGTATAATGAATAAACATCAAATGAAAACATACAATGCTACTGTTTGCAGGAAAAATGTCGAATGTCAGTGATTTGGAGCAACACATTGCAAGCTTGCAAATTAATCATAGAGATGGTGTTAAAACTGTTAAGCCTGGAAAAAAAGTAGGACCAGCTGTACCACCAAAACCAAAAAAATCACAACCTCAGGTCAGTAAGTTATACAACTTATGATAACAAGTGTATTTGTTATGCTGCTAACAATGTTATATGCTTCTTTTACACGTCTGTTCCATTATTATATGGAAATGTTTATGGTAAAAGTAGCAAAATTTTAGAATTTTTATAAGATATTATTTATAAACAAGTATAATACATTGTGTAATATGTTTTCAGATACCACAAAGTTACACCATAAAGGCTGCATCCGTGCCATCTTACAGTACAGTACTTAATAATTCTGGAACAAATGAAAAGCCATCAAATTTGTATGTAAACTCTCCCTCTCCATATGTACCATTGAACATAGAAAAAAATGATTTTTCATTGTCATCCTCCACAAATGGAAAAGATACATCTAAAATTTATCAGAATAATGATAACTTTTACACACATCAAGCAGAAGAAAAGTTTGAACCAAAATATGGATATGATGAAAAAAATTACTACTCAAATGTTGGAAATATGCCTGCTCCTCAAGTCCCAGTTGATGAACATTCAAGATCAGTAAGAAATGTTGTATACAGCAACATAGATCCTCCTGTAGCATCCATGCCAGTTAAAACTGGAGGTAAAACTGAAAAGGACATAATTTACAGTAACATTGAGTGGAATTCTAAACCAGAAAATACATATTGCAATATTCCTTCTGCTCATGGTAATTGTCTAATGAATCTCGTACGTAATTATTTAAAATACCAACTTCTTTGGTAACCAGTAATTCAATGAATTATTATGTTAAAGATGACTTACCACCACCGCCAGAACCTTCGGAGTATGTTCCTTGTGTTCCGAGTAGCTCCTTTCCACCACCACCAGAAGAGCTGCCGCCTCCGCCAAGTCCTGTTTCGTCCAGCTATAGCGAACTAAGACGTGCCACCTATCAAACTGATTTTCCTTCGGACAATTACCCAAACGATATTTATGGTCCCAGTTCACAGTCTAGTTCAACATATGAATCTATATACGAACCCATTAATCCTAGACCGCCATCCCAGTTGTCTTGCAATTATTCTATGTACTCTGGTTATGGATCCGCTACATCGACTCAACCGCAAGGAAAAGTATCTCCAGTTAAGGAAGTACGTTCAACGCAACTGCGTTCAGCACGACATACTTTTTGTCTTTAAGAAATAGTTCTTAAACAAATACTAATTGCTCCTCTTATCATCATGTTTCATTTAAAAAATGTATGATATTTATTTTTAAGGTGGATGTCTTGACCGACTTATTAGTTCAAGGTATGGAGGACAATGCCGAAGATAGCGACATTTATGGAATTTGCGCACAGTGTGGCCGTAAAGTTGAAGGTGAAGGTGCCGGTTGCTCTGCGATGGATAAAGTGTTCCACATTGATTGTTTCTGTTGTTATGTTTGTAAAGTTAATTTGCAGGGTAAACCATTCTATTCTTTGGAGAGCAAACCGTACTGCGAAGAAGATTATCTGAATACATTAGAAAAGTGTTGTGTTTGCACCAGACCGATATTGGATAGAATATTAAGGGCTACAGGCAAACCTTATCATCCATCTTGCTTCACGTGCGTAGTTTGTGGTCAAAGCTTGGATGGTATACCGTTTACAGTGGATGCTACAAATCAAATTCATTGTATACAGTGCTTTCACAAGTAAGTGACATGTCATTTTTGTAGAATGGTTAATCATTGATATAAGAGTTTAAATTTATGTTACAGAAAGTTTGCGCCACGCTGTTGCGTGTGCAAGCTACCGATCACGCCAGAACCAGGGCAAGAGGAAACAGTTCGGGTCGTCGCACTGGACCGTAGTTTCCATATACAATGTTACAAGTGCGAAGACTGTGGTTTGGTCCTGTCCTCAGACTCCGAGGGTCGCGGTTGCTATCCTTTGGATGACCATGTATTATGTAAAAGTTGCAATGCAACTCGTGTGCAAGCACTTACATCACATATGACGACAGAATTATGAATCACATAAATACGCAATAGCTATAGACATCATTTCAAGCCATATATTACATTGTTATACTTGTAGCTGCAGTTTTACAAATTTTTAACTTTTTCAGATAAGTATATTCTTTGAAAATATTGACATTTTGTATGTTTTTTAAAGAATTTTCTAATCAAAGCCATTTTATATTTGAATACGAGCGGTTACTTTTATTATTTAATATTTAGAAGTGATTCACGCCAAATATTCACAATATTCCTAAATGCAAATTTCTTAGAGATTTATATTTCTGAAAATATATATTTATATAAATATCGACTCTAAAGTGGTCATATTCCAAAAAAGTAAGACTAAGTTTAATATCACTTCCTTAGCACTGCCAGATTTAAGATTCCGAGATTTTTTGATGCCCATTATAAACAAAAAAAAAATACCTTTTAAAGATACTTTCCCGAAACAAGTGTGATGATTAGCGATTATGATAATCAATGTGATCCTAGTAAAATATTGCATACACTACTAAAGCGAAGTATTCAATACCTAGTGTTAATAAAAATTGTTTAGTTTTACGTAAAATTATATCCACGATAATGGCACACCATGATATAAAATAGAAATTGTGCCATTTCTACATCCGTTTTTATTAACCGAAAATATATAAGACATACGGTTGTATAGTGGACCTATGACGTATTTAGATTTCCGCTTTACGGTAAATCATGTGATACGGTAGAATTAATACAATGTATTAGTGCAAATACCTTAGATTAATATCGTTTATTTAGTACGTGAAAAGACTAAATAATGAATAGGACTTAATTGTAAAATGTATTACTGAAACGATCTTGAATCAATAAAACATCCGATCTATTCAAGGGAGGAGCATATTCATTTCGATTCCACTTACTATTCTACTTTTTTTCCATTACAAAAAAGAATAAAAAGTAGATGCAACTGAACAAGAAAGGTACATTCACAAATACAATGTATACATATATTGGAGTATTGTATATTTTATATCTTTAATGAGATTTTATTATTATATATTTGCAGGAAAGATTCACACTTATTTTAATCTATACCTTTTTCTTTACTATATTTTTCCATCTATATAATGTGTTTATGCGCAGATGTCTTTATTTCGTTTTAAATATATGCATCTTTTATATGTAATATATTTTTTTTTATTATCATCGAGTACTTAGATAGTTTTTTGTCGTACAACCTACGTGTCATTTTGTGTATAATTTATGTTTTTTTAATACATCAAGTTCTGTATTTTAGAAGGCGTGCTTTCTAAATTGTGGAATATATTTTGTTCATTTCTGTTAGAAAACAAACTCAACGGACTTGATAATTGATATACTTAGTTATTAAATTACAACCGACCATTATAACAAAGTTATCATAGACCGATAAGCGAAAAAAAAAACGGAATTCTCTATGATAACTCTCTAAGAATGCTGCAATAAAATAGTTTAACACTCTTAAAGTATCCGACTATTGATCTAGCACTTCATTATTGTAACTTTTTCATAATTAGGCCATAACGTGTCCTAGTAGTACTATAAATAGCAGAAATTTAGAAAAGGAGATGAAACATAAGAAACCATTTGTAGAGTTTTTTCGACCAAGTTCTCCAAGGTCGCCTCGGTGAGTTCAGCAATGCGTATCGCATGTAACGTAGAATACGAGAAACTTATACTAATCCACAATTGTAAAAAGCACACCTCTTACACCGTGTACAATATACATCAATTATATTCCTATATTCAACTACGCATACCCGCTAATATCTATCTTAGACTCCTTTTATATTATAATATACTTTGCGAAGTATATATTATATTTTATATCGTATCAGCACCATTCTACGTTGAATTTAGTACGTGGGTAATAACCGCTATCAAGCAGTTCCATTCCTAATACGTTCGTCTACATTCGTCAAGACCAGTACCAAACTAAACATAGAATCGCACTTTTCGCGCATTCTCTTTCACATAGATGCATGTTAATAAGTAGGTATGTATGCGTATATGTATACGTGTATGAAATATGCGTGTGTAGTGTGTGAGAGAAACAGCATCGATGCACTAACACACGGATGCTTACACACGTAAACTGTCTTCGTCTCGTTTTTTTTTTTTTTTTTAAACTTGCACGCAATAATCACAGCCACCTATCCAGATTCACGCACACGCACACCCAAATACGCGCTTTGTCTTACTCGCATTCCATATACCGTTCCGGTATAAGTTATTTTTTTTGTCTGTTTATTTGTTAATATTTATATATATATGTATATATATATATATTTATATATGTATATTGCTGAGATATCTTTCGTGTATCATACATAGAAATAGGTGCCGAAACGAGCTGCTCCTTTCTTCGATTACATTGTTACAATATCGTTTACAACGACCACAATGAAAAAGAAAAGGGGTCATGCGACTCGAATGCCGTACATGCGATTATAATTCTTCCTTTGCTCTATTCGTATTTCTCTATTATTCCTGTAAAATTCCTTTCATCTAAGTAATCCTCTTTCCCGAATTCCCTCTTCTAACAACATACTTTCACACTTTCAAATTCGCTGGGTGCTGGCGGGCTGCGCAGCCCGTAAATCAATAAATAAATAGAGGAACAACATTCTTCAAACATCTTTTTTTTTTCTTATAACAACATTAGAGGCTCTTGGAACGTAACGCAACAAATGTTCAACAATATAATCACGAAAACAAATAGAAGGCACTCTTGCATTTTTTTCTCAATAAATTAATTTCCTTCTTAACGACTCACAGGTTGATCTACGCGTTCTAGGCCTTTGTCGTGTCATCTACGTATCATCCCTCGGATATATATTTTTTTTTTCTCTCTCCTTGCTCTCATTCTCTACGTCTCACTCTCTTTTTTATTTCGCGTCTCTCCGTTACAATCGCCGCGATATCTAAATCACAGCGTCACTTCGGTTCCGTTACCCAGTTATTTCGTCTTTTTCCCCTCGTTTTAAATAGACAATAATAGCTACAATATGCGAGATATGAGATAACAAATTTCTCGTTATAGATAAAAGAAATTCATGTTCATAACAATTAGGTAGAATATTATTTAACTTTTTATATTATAATAATTTAATTATTGTTATTTGCTTGGAAGCTCACAGCCGACACATTTTTTTTAATTCATTATTACATATATTTTTTTCATTATTTTTATCGTATTCGTTTGGGTATGGGGCATCTCTTTTTCTTTTTTTTTTTTTTCATTTTTCGTTTGTTAACAGCTATTTACGAACTTTTTTCGTTTACTCTTTTTTGCGCGGAGAATTTGTCGGGGGGAAAAAGAAAGTAGAACAATAAATTAGTGTCCGCTACCGTTTCGAAAAATTGCGTGAGAATACATCACACGGTTACTCTAATTAAACTATAAGTACTGTGTACCATGTTTCAGGTAGAAAATAAAAAACGAGAGATGTGGCAGTGCCTTGAGCAACCGTTTTACGAAACTCAACTCTATTCTGCCTCCCTATTTACCCCTTCTTGCATATTCTTTTTTTTTCTTTTTGAACACATAACAAATCGCTCGTCTTTGTACGATAACAACGTTATTTGTTTTTTTTCTTTTTTTGAAGTTTTCTTCTGTTCTATCATCTGTATTTATCCGTCTATCCTACTCTAGCCTTGCTCGTGAGATTCAATGTTTTTTGCCGAGCCTATCGCGCGTATAACGTCAAATACTGCATACTATAGATTTAAATAATGTAGCGTACCTGTATTATCTATTTTTAAGATATATAATTTTTCTCGTCTCGTTAACATTCGTCTCCTTTTAAGAGATAATGTAACTGTCCTCTTTGATACATATATATATATATAACATACTTGAGTGTGTGTCTATATATATAATAATCATGTATATCATTTTCAATAACTAACATAATAATCTTTAAATATCATATTTTATCTTAATTTTTTTAATATATATATATATATTTTTTTTTTATAAATGCTTAACAATTTAGTATGTTTGATAATTTACCGAAGAATTTATAATTTACAAGTCCACGTGTGTCTAGTTATTCTTTTCATGTATTCTTTTTTTTTTTTGTTCTTTTTGTATTTAGGGACTGAGATCACAAGAGAAGAATCGTACGCTGTTATACCATATATATATATGTATACGTATGCTTATGCAGGTTTGTCGAATATACGCAGATTTTAACCGTCTGGACCGACGTTGTTTTACATACGGCTTCGAAATCGCGATACACGCGCGCTCTGTCTCGTGTCCGCTGTGTGGTGTGTGGTGTGTGATGTGTGGTGTGTGTGTGTGTGTGTCCATTGTGTAGTGGAGATGACCGAAAAGAAGAATCGGAGGACAAAATAAAGAAAGAAAAGAAAACGAACAATCGAAGCGCATTCGAAAAAGAAGCATTCAAAGGGTCAGAGTTTGCATCTGATGGCACGTGTCGCTCAGCTGATTCTGATCCCCTGCTGGATGACCGGGATGATGAGCCCGCGGCGTTCCTGGCGGCGTGATGGGCATTCTTCCAACACCTGGTGGAGCGTCTCCAGCCCCGCCAAGACTGTCGTCGGAGACCTTGTTCCCGGTCTGCATGATCCCGTTCACCTTGTACTTGCTTTGTCGCAGCATGGCGGTAGTCTGAGCGGAACCGGAGCTCGAGTACTTCTCCGTAGGTTTGCGACTGGCGGAGAGCGTCGGTGCGATGGTGTAGCGACGCTGGCTGGCTTGTTGTTGCTGTTGCTGTTGCTGCTGGTGTTGGGACGGGGCTAGGGATGGCTGATAACGGTTTTGCGCCGTAGTATAGTACTGGACCTGGGAGGTGGGTGGTGACAAAGTTGGAAGAGGTCTTGTCATGGGTGAATACGGCGCTGGCGGTGGGCTCACCGGCTTCTCCAAGCTATTGCTAGGATCTACCGCTTGTACCCCCTGAGTAACGTTATTATCAGTCTCGATCGGATTGTAAGTCTCGTTCGACTGTCCGCTAGAACAGTTTCCGTGTTCCGTCTGTCCGTTGTTGCTTCTGTAGCTGTTCGCCGCGTTCTTACGATAGTTGTTCGACCTTGTCGCGCTACCGTCGAAATACTGATCATTGCTCCTGCGACCGTTCGCGTAAT